TTCCAACTCGTTCCCTGAGAAAGACTTTGCGCGGCCAGAGGCGTCCAGCCAAGCCTCATGCTCTACGGAACTACGGTCAGTGTGCCGAGCTCGGCCTCGCAAAACACGAGGTTTTAAGGGCGACGCAGGAATCCGACACGGTCCATCAAAAGAATCATAATATGGCTATGGGTCAAAGCCCCGTACCCCCAGTAAACATCCCAACCCCCACCAAAATAGACTAAAATGGGTGGTGCACCTATCCCAAAATGGTACCATTGGTTTTGAACCATGGCTGTGTTTTTGAATGCAACGTCAAGTTTGCAAGGGAACATGTTTCTGAACATTTTGGGGCCATACTGATCACCGGAGCATTGCGGCTGTGGACCCTGCCGGGTCTGTGAGTGTCAGGGCGGAGATTGATTTGAGCGCTTTTGGGCACGACTTCTTCTCAAGAGTTATGGGAGGTTGGTCCAACTTGCCAGACTGGTCATTTTGGGGGCGACATGGGGAACTCACCAGTTTTCAGACGAAAACCGGACTTGCTGACATTCCTATGGCCACTAATTTTGACTGTGCCTCATCTCATGGCTGGTCTGTGGGGTAATGCAGTCAACTTGGCATCTTCCACGCTGCTGTTTGATGCTTTTGTGAGGTAGTGCGCCTCTAAGCACCACACTATATATGTCCACATACATTTGTGTGGCACCTTTTTTGTGTATTCATGATTTGATTGGTCAACATGATCATCGGCAAGGTTTCCCTTGCTCACAACATCCTTTCGGCACATACGTGTGCTGTGATTAGCCACATCGAGGAAGCTGATAGTCGCACGTCCTATTGTGCAGCTATTGAAACCGCATTCCATCGGTCGCCTTCAAGACTTTGAAGTTCGTTCGCTAGGCACTAGAGAAGAACGAGCGCTGGCGCAGTGGAGCTCAGAGGTGCCGTTCGCGCACACGGGAGGATGATGTTTGCTTGGAAGTGGAGCTGGATCCAAAGAAGACGATATCTCACTCATTGTACTTTCATTACTTGGGTTGGCGCACACTTGCACTTCTATCTCATTGAAACGGCTCTGGGGGGCGGGGGATTCCGCCACGGTCATGCTGATTTGTGTGCTGAACTGTGGAACCAACTTGTACCATTTTGTGCCCAGGAAATGGAATTGTCAATAGAGCTAGGCTGCGACAGCAGTCGTCGTCAGCAACCCCATTTAGACCGGAGCGACTTTGCGCATGCCTGAACACTGGTGCCTGTACCCACGAACTATACGCACTCTTACGAGAACCCTGTCTTGGGTTGCTTCCCTTTCTTTGGCTGCTGCATGCTCACTCCCCTTTCTGGGGTCGCGTCAGCATCCTCCGAGGGTTTCCGGACAGTGCCGGACTGCACTTCATTCCCGGTATCCTGATCCCATGCCACAGCCAGCCTCAGCCAGCTGCAGTGAACTGAAGGCTTCCAAAGCCCTTGGTTCATAGTGCAAGCTGGAGCAGTACACCCAGAAAGTCCACTGCGGGCGACGTGCTGTCAATTTACATGTGTCCATTTTCCCCAATTCGTTTGAGATCCCAAAGTCAAGCTTCGTTGTCCTTCACTTAGGTCGCGCGGTGCAGCTTTTGCGAGACTTGCACCGGGAAGGCAGGGGGACTGGGAGGGGGCCGCGGGCTGTTTGAGTGCATCGCACACCGCGAGTTTTGGACCCTGTGTTCAGACCCATAGACAAAACACAGGTCACCAGTCCAAGCCGAAGCAATCAGATCCGCACCTGTCCGAACCATTTGAAGGCCCCGTAACTGTTTCAGGCCCATTCGCCTCACATGGCCATAAATTCCAATAAGAAAGCCCTTCAAAAGTAATGGGTGGATTCACCAAATCCCCCATTGTTCGATGCTCAGATGTGGCTGTGGGTCAACCAATGGTACCATTTTGGGGTCCCAAAAGGTGCACCACCCATTTTAGTGGGGATTGGGATTTTCACTGGCAGTACTGGCTTTGGACGAATGGCCATGTCAGCCTTTGCTTAGGTTTGGAAGCCGAGCTGGTGACCTGCAACTCAGCACGCGCCTTGGTGTCTCTGCCAAGCTCCGACTCGCGGAGAAGTCGCGCGTATCCCGGTGGCTTGAGCCAATACCCATTGAGAGTTCATGGAGTGAAATTCCAGAAGCACTTCCATGCCCCCTACACTTTTGATTTCCATTTTAAAGGTATAAATTTAATATATATATATATACACACATTTGCATATGTATATTGGACAACTCGATGTTTCATGGTAAATCTCGCTTTTCTTTAGTCAGGGGTTAACATCAGACCTTCAAACATGAGTCCACCGGGTGTAGAGGGTGAACCAATGGTGAGTGGGCAAGGCTTTTTTTCGATGAAGAAAACTCAAGTAGCTTTTTGTGGTAAGGACATATAACCAGTGCTGTCCCTTTTTTTGTGTGGTCCCGACCAACTTGTCGCCATGCTCTGCCAACAGTTGCCAGTTGTTGGACCCTTTGTGTTTCCAAATCGATCCTCATTTGGACCACAGCGGTGTTGGGTCTACGCAGTCCGGCTCGGAACTTGGCAATGGAGCGGCCTTCGACTAGGAAACCGTCAAGTAGCAAAGATTGTTGCGAGTCGGAACCACCTCAAAAGTGGTTGGACATAGATCCCGTGAACGATGTCCGCCAATGACAAAGCGGTAATTTAATTTCATGCCCAAATGGATCATGGCCAAGTGTCCGTGTGTGCAAGCCCTTCTAAACGGCTGACTTCCTGGCTGCTTTGTCACTTCCTGGGTTCCTTTTTTTAAACTTTTGGGAAGACCCTTTTAGTAGCAGTGCCAGCTAGATCAGCGATATGTTTGTTTAGTCGCGTTTCTAGTTACATGAGCTTCTCACAAAAGCTGTGTCATGGCGTTTGACTCGTTGCGTACAGACTCGGTAATGCATGCTCCGTGGCCATGCTTTAATGTTTCTATTTCACTGGACCAGGGGTACGGATTCGGCTTGCAGCACAAGAGTTTGGCCTGCTACTGCATCTCTCAGGCCATCAGTGCTTGCGAGCGGAGCTGGCATGATTGTCTTATGGCGGTGCCTCTGTTTCTCCCACATTTCTCGCACACCGGCACACTGCACAGCCACTCGATAGATTTGACTGTTTGCCGAAGCTCTCAGAATTCCTGCTAGATCTTCAGGGTTCAGTTTCCTTATTAGAATTCGCTAATGGAGAACACAAGTGGTTACTCACTGCAAATGCAAAGAAGAAGAAAACAAACACGAGGTCAAACCACCTGCCTTCTCGGAGTCAAGAAGATCACTCATTCTCTAAGGGAGATTTGGATGTGGGTCAAAATTACACCACCGGGGGACCGCCTGTTTTAGTCATGGGTTCCATTTAGCAGGGTTCCATTTTGGGTACCCATTTTTGAGAGTCTCAACCCGGCTTGATTCGAGTCAGTTCTGAGGAGCCCTTGCCAGGAAGGGAGGCGCCTGGCCCTGGGCCACGCAACTGCTCACGGAGGACTGGACGACTCACCTGTTCCAGATGGTGTTTGCGGATTTCTTCGTGTTATTGTCACTTCAGAAACCCGAAGAGTACTCCAAAGGGGGCTCAAAAGTTTGAGTCTTATTTCCCAGTGGTTTGGAGTGGAGGGTGTTGGTACCCTTTTTGTGTTTGAGGTGATGCTTGTGTTGCGCATGTGGTTCGGAATCGGCACTGTAGCTGGTAACAGATGATTATGTGCTGTCAAGATCAGGCAATTCAGGCAATTAAGTTTGAAGCGCATCCTGCTACAAAAACTTGCATGGGTTCCCCAACAATACCCATTCTGTAACCTGCTTTGGCAACGCCGCCCATGATGTCTCTGCTTTATTGGAGGGAATAGTTGATTCAAGTTTGCACTTGCATTTGCATGTCATTCTATGGGCACTGTTCGTACATTGCTTTGCTTGTGGTGTATTTGTTTGCCGGTGTTGTGTTGCAGATATATATCCATCTGAGTGGGTACTAAGTGAATCATACACAGATGTGTTCGTAGCAGTTTGACTGTTTGCCAGGGGGTCACTGTAACCTTGGATTCTGGAAAGCTAAGAGGGCCATGCATTTTATCGTCGACTGCCATATTGCTCCCAACCATACACATTGGCTGGCCTTTGGCCGAAGGGGAAAAGGAACCATGTCAAGGTGGCCGAAAGGACCAAGTCATGAAACATGGCTGCCTGATCTCTGGGCTGGAGCGAGCTTGCACCTGCAGTCTGGTCGTTGTGGTGACAGGCCCTACCTTCACTCATTAATTTAGATGCCAGATCGGCTTTCTGAGAATTTCCCTGAAATGTATTTGAAAGGAAGGGGCTCTCACTCTACCTCTTGGTTTGCAAATATGGAAATGTTGTCTTGGGAGTCATGGGATGATTGACCCCACCAAGCGCTGGCATTGGTTGGATAACCGACTCCCCCATGTCTTCTGCGTGTCAGCCCAACTGCTTCCAGTCACGCCATTGGGTCACAGCAGGGGATTTGCACGAATCCTTTGTTTGTTGATTCAATCGGGGATCAGCAATCACGCTCGGATCCATCAATCTAAGAGGTTTTCGGCTGCCCGGCGGCAGTTCGCGCGCGGCCAGAATCCTATTCAACTTACGACAGCCATCGGCCACCGGAGCCCCTGAACCGCTGTGGTCTCTGACGGACAAGCACACCGTGTGTGTGTGTGTGCTGTTTTACCTCGAGGAGACACATATCAAGGATAAGCTAAGACAACAGCGAAGTGGTTGATCGACGCAGCCCTGGACATGTGACAAGCTGCCAGGAGATGCTGCGCAAAGACTTGGAGTGTGATGAAATCAGCTTCAACGCAACTCTGGCCGAAATTGCCTGCCTTTCGGACCCAGGGGTTTGAATAAAGCTTCTCTTTTGGGAAGGATCCATTTGCAGTTGAAGCCGGAGGAAGGTACCAAGAGCCAGTCCGCTTTTAGTATAAACGCTGAATGAAGCCCAACTGAGAAACGGCCTGGCACAGGCGAGCTCTGCATTTCTCTGACCCCAAGAAGCTGAAGGCGTCCTTTTCCGAATGCGGCATGGGATCATATGTTTGTTCTTCTGCAACTTTTCTTCATGAGCAGTCGCGGGTTGGCCAAGTAGCAGCCTATGTGCAAGCCCATCCAGCAAGCCCGAGCAAAGCGACACGGGAAGAAGCAAAACACAGTACCGGCTCCCACCAAGCCAATCTTGCCATATCAAGACACGTTGCGATTTGAACGGAGGACGGTTTCACAATCGCCAGGCAGCTATCAGCGCCTGCAAGGACCAGTGGCTTGTAGCAAGCCTCTGCTTGGAGGCGAATTTCGGTTCGGAACTTCAGTTGAACGAGAAGGGCCCGTTTCCGTGTGGTTTTCCAAGGTGAAGGGCTGCATGGAATTCGCGGACTACTGGAACAGTGCCGGCCATGTATCACAGGTTCCAGTGATTCCATTCAAGTCGGCAACGAGTATGTTGTTTCTATTGTTTTACACAAGAGATTTCCCAAGACTACATGCCGCAGCACTTGATGGCCGCACCGGGTTTGACAAGCCTTTTCTTGCTCCAATGGCAGATCATTGCCCTGGTGCCCAACACAATGTTCGCACAATGTGGCATTGAAGTTGAGGTCAGCTTTTGCTGAGCACTGACAGTCGCGATATTTGAGCCAACTGCCTTTAGGAAAGGCGTCCTTGCACGGCTGATGGTTAATAGCTGGCCATAAGAAGTTCCAGGCATATTATATTGGCCTGGCAAAATGACCTTTTCGGCTGGAGAATTGAACGAGGTGCTGCACCCTTTGGTGTCACTGGGCAGGTTGGGACTTGACAATCGTGATTTTCAATTGCCATAGTAAGCAACCAGGCAGTTAGGCCTTGGGAGGATTTCACACGGTCTCCTTTGGACCAAAGTCACTGGGAGGTGTCGGTTCGTTGCACTTACTCATTTCCCGGCACCATCAAGCGTGCATTTGGTTTGGCTGCCACGAGCCTTTGCTCGCAGGCTTTCATGTGCGACAAATCCGAACATTGCACAGATTCCGTATCTTACAGGTTCAATAACTAGAATCAAGATTAGCGTCCACAATCACGCGGCGCGGCTATATTCCTCCTGCGCCCGGCCACACTCCAAGCCTCCTGTGTTGGTGGACAATCAGAGTTGTGTTTTTTGCTTGCCACTTGCTTTGGGGTATGCTTTTGTTGATGGCAAATCTATATAGCCAAGAATTGTTCCGGGCAAATTTAGCCACCGGACGAAGGTTCCTTGTGCATTCCTGATTTCAGGCCTTGAGGAGAGTGTGAATTCTAATGATGTTGCCAGAGAAAGGGAGGAGGTTTGTCTCAAAATGGGGAAATGGACGCCTGCACCTGGTTGGAGTTCCATTTGGCTGGCTTCCCTCCAAGGTTCCTTCTCCCGCAAATCCAGTGCAGCCCAGTTCTTCAACTGTCTCAAATCGTGCTTGTCACTCTTATCCACTTGGTTTCCCTTTCATACGGTGTATGGACAAAAATCCGATTCGCGCCATTTCTAGGGTTTCATCCACTTCTGTCCCGTGGATTTCCCTCCACCAGACCAACGAGGGGATCCCAAGCCAACGCAGCGCGTCCCATCGACGTGTAGCGAGGCGATGCAGCTCTGGAGCCTGCAGCCGGGGGTGGTGACCTACCAAGTCTTGCTGCCAGCCATGGAGGCAGAGATGAGATCAACGACTCATGTGGTGGCTCACCAAAAGGGGAGTCCCACGCGCAACAGAAAAAAAAGACAGGCTGGGCAAAGAGGACCCGCTCCCCTTCCAGCAAACCTTCTTTGGTCTTCTGCCAGCTGCCCTGGCTTGGTATTCTGAGAGATTGGAGGGATGAGGCTTGGGCCCCCTGCGAACTTGGCAGGAAGCGGGACGTCCCGCTCGACCCCCCCCGCTTACACTGGCCCCTTCAGCCATTTCCAAACCCAGCCTAAACTCGCTCTATACTAGCCAACACTCAACCAACCCTTAATCAACCCTGAATCAATCCTGAATCAACCCTTAACCACCCTCACCCACAACCACTCCACCAGGGGGGGGTAACATGACCATGGGGGTGGACCTAGAACCTGGAGCATAGACACACACACACACACACCACACATGTATATTAATATACATATTCATACCATATTTGTCATATTCATATGCACCAAATTGATCAAAGTTCACAAATCCGCCACGCTCGCGCGCGCGCCTCGCGCAGGCGGGTGGCGGCTTTGTGCCACAGGGCCTTTGGCCTTCAGAGCCCCGGCGCCAGGCGAGGACGGATTGGCCGACGACACGTGCGGAGCTCCAGTGATGGAAACTTAAAACGTCTCGTTAAAACCAGCTGGCAATGTTGCTCCCGTTTTTGTTTTTTTGTGAGAGGGTGAAACACCTGCAAAGTTGAGCAGTGGTGCCTGTGTTCTGATCTTCGGAGGTCGCTGATTTTTGGAGGTCGCCACCCGCAACGGAGGTCGTTACCCCCTGGCTTTTCCCACCATATTTTCACCAGGCACCATGCCAGGTGCCAAGAGCCAACTCACCATTGAGGCAAAGCATCGGCTCCGGGAAGTTCCGGGCACGGGAAGGAATAGTTTGCGGACATGTGCTGTAACCTGCTTGACGGCGGAGAGCATGACATCAGGCATGAAGCAAAGATGAACACATATGTACATGCGCATACGGAATAGACCAGTGTTCACCTTCACAATTCACACATGTACAATATATAATGTAGAATATATAGTAAAACATATATACATATATTTTTGTATACCTATATGTTTTTATGTATGTTTCATACAATATGCATTTTGCACGCTCCCGCCTGGAACGAACTCCCACATACGCCAGGTGGAGGCCTTGGAGCTGCTGGAGGCGGGAACACGGGTCGAAGCCGATAGGTTTCTGTGGAGAGGTTTGGGCATGAAAGGTTGGACATGTTTGTATCTGGACTCAAGGTTCTGGACTCGTTTTTTGTGTGTGTGGGAATTGGACTTAGTATGCTTGTTTTTGGTGGGGTGCTGGGAATATGTCGACTTTCTGTAGTTGTTTTGAAGGATGTTTGTTCAACATCCCATCAGTCCATGGCGCAGATACACACATGTACCGATAATTTCTCAGATTGAAGGTTTGATTGTTTTGGTGGGGAGGATGAGATGCATTTTTTGCGAAAGAGGTGGGGAGGAAAGATCGTACCCTCTTTGGACATTTTCATGTGTGGTCCTAACAGGGGTTCCATAGAATGTGTCGACTGGTTTCCGCAGTCTATAGAGTGCTGAACAAATAGGATTATTTTTTGAATCTGAAAATGAGCGCACGAAGTCGAGCTTCTTATTAACGCAGGACCATTGACATGAGCATATGTTCTCGCGAGCTAGTTTCGCAACTTTAATGGGATACCTTGGATAATGCTCACACACACAATTGTAAGGATTTGCTTGCCAATTTAGGGGATCAGCTTTGTTTGCTTATTTGTACTTCTGATAGTTTTTTTTGTTTTGTATTTGGCTAGCCTGCCTGCCGTCCTGCCGGGCTGCCTGCCGGCCTGCCTGCTTGCTTTGTATGTGTTCTTGTTTCTTGCTTGCAGTGTCATGCCGCTCGCCTGCTTCTTTTCAGCCAGCTGTTCTGCTGTTCTGTTGGAGACCGTAATTTGTTGGTGGCTTTAACGGTTTGTCCACAACAGCCCAAATGTATTGAGTCATCTAGTGTTGTTCCTCACACTCCCCGAACATCCTGCAACAAACAGAATCACGAGGGACCACAGCGTCAGAGCGGCAGAGCGGCAGTGTCTGAGTTTTTTCCTTTGGGTAGACGCAAACTCCAGTGTTCAATGCATGAACGGTGGCTTACTTTCCAAAGCCGTTACTTTTGGCGGCCGGGCGGCCAAGCTGTAGAACCATAAGCCACCCCGGGCTATCTCTTGCAGTCACGCCGATGAAACGAGCGGTGGCCATGTTGGCCTTCGAGAGAATGAGGAACCTTTGTTGTGCACTGCTGGCTGGCAGTAAGTCGAAACTTTATGCGATCAGGGTACATGAAGCGATTTGCAACAAGGACAACGAATCTCCGGCGTTGTTCAATCCATTCGGCCAAAGGATTGAAAACACCCATCCAGTTGATCATGAAGCAGAACCGCCTAAGCCTTTCAAGCCAGGTCCACATGTGTGAATATAGGGTTTAAACCATCCCCAAAACGGGTACCCTCACGAAACGCACACCTCTGCTTCCCAGGCGCCCCCTGAATTGCCCATGAGTCAGGCCACTGGAGGGGTGCCCGTGCTCGCCCCCGCGAAGTTCGCCAAGATGGTTTACCTGCCTCGCCTGCGGGCGCCTCAGGGGCAAGTGAGCCTGTTCGTTTGTAGTTTTGATCCACCCCACACGGTGTTTGCACAAAGTTCGATCCCATGGACATTCGGATCACCAGATGCATGAAGTTGCCAAACTAATTTTGCATGCCGAAGTTTTGCTTTGCCTCCTTCCAGGACGTGCTTCCCGTTTACAGGACTTCATCCTTTCCGGTTCGGCGTGCTAACAATATTTGTCCATTTGGTAGCAGTTGCTCTGTAGGAGACTGCAACTCATGTTGATTTTGGTTGATTTACCTCTGTTCCCTCTTCATGTTGATTTACCTCTGGTTGGTATTTACCTTTTGGCTGATGTACCTTGGTTGATTCTGGTTGATTCTGGTTGATTCTGGTTGATTCTGGTTGATTCTGGTTGATTCTGGTTGATTCTGGTTGATTCTGGTTGATTCTGGTTGATTCTGGTTGATGTTGAAATACCAACCAAAAGGTGTCCACGTTTTTGCAAAACTTCCATTTGGTGCCCGGAGATGGCCATTGTCGCTGGGAGGTTCCCTGCCCTTCGGCAGCTGGCTGCAGGGTCTTCGGCACCAGGCCAAGCCGCGTGTTGGATCGGATGGGATAAGCCGCAAGATGGAGCAGATCTCGCGCAACATGCGCTGCAGAAGGAAGCAACATCGATTTGTTGAGTTGGTTTATGAGAGTGTGTATTGGCAGATATGGTGTTCAAAGGTAAACAAAACTGGGAAGTAGTTTATTAAACATGCGCGATCAGGCATGATTGGCAGACGACATAGAACAGTTTGTAAATTCTATGAGGTCAAACATGTATGTTTACGTAGTTGCCGTATACCGTATACATGAATAAGTTCATACAGGAAATAAGTCTTACAACATGTTGGCCATTTAGATGATGCTGCTATTGTTTGATTAGGTGTTGGTTGTGTTTTTATCGTATAAATCATTGTTGGTGTTTTTACACCAAGCTTGCACTAGCTTGGGCAAGCAATAGCGTCCACTCGTTTCTAATTTCCTGGATGGAGTGGTTCAGGAAGGAGCTTTAGAACTTTAGAGGCTAGCTCGAAGCAGGACATCAACTATTCCCAGTGGACGGAGAAATGGCGTGCACCAATATATGCAGGATGCATGAGGCTACTTGCTCACATCTTTGATCCTTGGTGTTCGCTTGTTGCACTGTGCATGGCAAGATGACTTGGACGAAGCTCGGCCTTTGCACCAGAACAAGTCAGCCGCTTTGGAATGTTTAGGAGAAGCATAGCATGTTCCGGGACTGGTTTCACACACATGGTTTTACCTGGAGGTTGTGTCAGTCAGGAATCTGACACATTGGCCCACCCTTTGGGCCAAAGTTATGGAGGCAAGATCTTGTCCAGAGAAGCATATATGCACACACACACACAACTACACACGTACGTACATATGCTCGCATACACACATAATGACATAAGCAATACTAGACACATACTACACATTCATACACATAGGCACATAAACACACAACCACGCACAGTGACAGTAACACGCAAACACTAGAAACAAAGACATAAATAAATGAAGAAAGAAAGACAGAAAGAAGGAAATAAACACAAAAAAAACAAAACAAAAAACGGCGGGCAGGCAGGCAGGCAGGGAGGCAGGCAGGCAGGCAGACAAACAACAACGAAACAAACACACACACACAGAAACACGCAAACAAACGCACACAAACACACAAACAGACGCACAAGCACACACAATTACACAAACACAACCACACGCTCACACAAAGACACAAGCACACACACACACACAAGCACGCATGCTGTTTGTCGCCCAGGCAAGAAGCAGCAGCTTAAACATCTCATTTGAAAAACACTATATATATATATACATCCACGTGCACCATTTTAGAGGGTTCAGGATTGTAAAGCTGCAGTCAATCTCTGTTGCAGCGCTTCATTCCATGAGAGCCAGGTGGTCCGCGGTTGCACGAGCCGCAACTCGAGCAACACTTTTCCTTGGGGGCGCTGTTCACCTCGGCAGCCCTTCAGGACGGGGTCTGACTGCCACTAGGTTGCTTGCTACTCCCGGGTTCCATGGCGGAAAGCACTGCTGCCATTGCAAGCACCTCTGTAGTTTGGAGGGTGGTCCACTTGCTTTCTGTCCAAAGCCTTTGTCATTAAGGCAAATCTATTTATTGTTGAGGGATAGCCATGAATTTCGATCATAATGAGGGCTTATCATGGCACACGCGCTTGAAGGGCAACCCCTTGCATTCATCAGCTGTGTAGTTGTGAGGATGTCATTTTAATTTAAATGGACCTAGTAGAAACGAAACACCGCAGGTAGAATCGACGTTTGGCTTCATCCAAAGCATTGTCCAGAATCCATTTGGCGCAGTGTCTCTGGCACAAGTGACCGCAACAAAGCCCTGAGCTGGTGAAAGCCAATCAACACTCGGCTAGATGGTTTTTTCAGGAGCCAAATAGGGGTTGTCAACAGTATGTATTATATATGCCGTTGGACCCTGGCTTGTCTTTGGTTGCCAACTTTGTGGTGTAAACAAACCCCCAACCCGTGTGACATGAGCATGGTTGAAGCAAGGGTCACGAGTTTGGACCCTGTGCTCTTTGCTTTTCCTTTCAGAAGGATACCTCGATCTTCCTAAGTCCGCGTTTTTTGGCGAGACAAAGGCTTTTTTTGCCGAACCCTGTTCTAGGCAAGTGTCCCAAGGGCGGTTTTGAAGGAAAATGCGTTTTTTGATGGAAGCGACTAAATTTTATGTAGTTACGGCAAAAAGCAAAAATTCTCCACTCCGGGTTTTCTAGGTTTGTTTCAAAATAGGGGTCCCTCCCCCCCAAAAAAGACAAAGAAGCTTCGGTCTGCTGTGCCACTGTTCAACGCCCCAAACCGGAAAGGACCCACATGCCCAGCACCCGAAACGGCGGCCACAATCCAATTCAAGGTTGTCCTCCTTGGACTATCGTTTCCTGGAAAATGCAGGGGCAAGAGCTGTAGCAATTCCTGCCGGTCTCCAGCAAGGGTGGCCAAAAGGACCATCCTGATTTTGCCTTGGCTGCTATTGGGCTGGATCTTGAACCTTTGACTTGTTGGGAAAGTGTGTTGTTGCCCTTGCCATGCAGACATGTTGTGAATGCAGCGGCGTTGCTTTCGGCCCTGTAGATATGGTGATTAGGGCCTGTTATTTGTCCTCGTTTGCTTGCGCGGACTGGAGTGCAAGCCCGGATTCTCGCCACCAGCCGCCACCCATTTACCTGTTGGGCAAACTTCAAACGTTTTGTTGGCATTTGTTCTTCGCCGAAATGCCGCCAAACCCAAAGGCCGAAGGACTTTTCTGTGCCAACTCGCCAGGTTTGGCCATCCCTTACCTGAAGTGCAAGACTAACAGACGTCCGTAACGTGTCAGGCCGGTAGCATGGAGTTCGATCATTTGTTCAAGCGGTGTTACAATTCAGGGTAGAAGGTGAACCGGGGTCTGAACATACGACACTATGTAGCTTTCTTTTTTGTGGGCCGATGTGGTTCAAGGTTCGCCTTTAAGGGACAGCTGACCTTGGGTTCTTCAAACCGGGTCAGATTCCTATGGGAAAAGATGATATCACCAGGACCTGGACATGGATCGCTCAAGCCCTTGGCTGGGCAGTGCCCGGAACTTCGCCTGGAAGGCCTTCATGCGACAGCGTTAGGGCACATCCGGACCATCACATGTTTTTTGTTTCAGCCATTGATCAATGTTTTTGTTTGTTTGTGCCTGCTATTTGGTTGGGTTGGACTTGGTTGTTTGGCTTGGTTGCTTGCTTGCTTGTGTGTGTTGTTTTCTTGCTTGCCTGCAACTTGCCTGCTTTGCTTCCTTGGCTTTGCTTTGCGCTCTGCTTTGCGCTCTGCTTTATTTGCCGTGTTTTGCAGTGACTTGCTCTTGCTTAGCTTTGGCGGCTGGGGCCCAAAGCAACTCTGAACCTATGAGTTCCGCACAGAACCTCGTACTATGGCCATGAGGTTCCCAAAAAGCATGACAGACAAGTCGACACTTCCCAGCGTGGGTGCAATTCCGTAGATAGGTGTGCTACCAACTTCACACCACTTGGACTCGCAAGTGGGGATATCCGACCAAGTCTTGAGAGGGTGGATTTGTCCAACCAACAGAGCAATGTACTTCAATTTGATATCCTTTGATGTTTTGAGAAAACCGGCACTTTTGCAACGTAGTCATTTCATGGTATTTCTTGGCAGTGGGTCCAAGACCGGCCTACAGCAGGAGTCACGTTTGGTCGGAGGGCCTTTAGCTTGGCCCCGAAGGCGCTGAGATCCTCAGGGTCTTCTGTGGTGACGGCTGCAGCAGCTGGGCTGAAGAAGGTCATTTGGGAACCGAGTAGTCTTGGCAGAAGAGAGCACATACACGGTCTGCAACTGGTTGACTGACCGCTTTGGAAAGTCCATTGGTCAGGAGGCCTGTTACATGTACGTTATTTGACATGTTTTATCCGTTAGACATACCTCGCTGCAACCCAAGCTCATCAATAGCCTTGGACGTGTTTTATGCCATTGCCGGTTTGCTCGTAGGCCTACACTCGCTCCCCTCTTTGCTGTTGTTTGTTTGTTGCAGTGTTTCTTCGGCATCGCCGCAATCTCGCGTTGGATGATTCAAATAGCGAAATGCGGCGACGCCTCGCTTGCCAACGCTTCATTGGCAAGTCTTTATACTCTCCGCCACTGGTCCCTACTCCATGGTTGCAACGCCAAGTACACAAGAGACACCTCCTGACATGCACGTCACATAACGTTCATTGTCGTAGCCTGCGATATGTGTTGAGGTTTTTGCTTTGTTCGCGGGAAAAGCTCATATATTGTCTAGCTTGGTTGGTAGAAACTTTGTACACATTTCTGGAAGCCTGGCAAATGGATGCCCACTTCGAGGTCCTCCCTAATTAGTTCTCCATTCGGTCAAAATGTCCACCCGAATGGTTCATTCGGGTGGAATGGAGAAGCAAGTCATTTTGACCGGTCTTGCTGCTAGAATTCCGGTATGTCTCGCCCCAGGAACCAAGCGCTGCAGGCATTGCAGCCTGGGCCTGCGGCCCAGGGACCAGGCGGATGCCCTATTACAAGTGAACCATGCCATCCCCAACGCGGTGAATGAAGCGTCTCCCTACTTGCAATATTTGGGGCATTCAATGAATGGGCCGTGGGCCCTCGGGTGTTGGATGGCTTTTTCGTGCCTCCGCGTTGCCGTAGCGCGGAGGGCGGAGGGTTACCTTGAGTTTCTCTGGTCACCCACTTGTTCAATTGCAACCTTAAAACCATTAAAGCCACTTTTTGATTGGCGGGTCCTCCCCCACTTGAAATGGTCTGGGAAAAATCCCCCCTTTTGTAGCAGGGTCGCTGGAAAGCTGTTTGTCATGTGGAGGCACGTCGTGGTGGAAACCACGAAGTGCCTGCCTTGGCGTTTGGACAGGTTAGCCACACCAAATACTCAGGCGTCGCACACCAAGTTTCTTCATCACTTTGATCTGCCTGAACCAGGCACTGTCGCTCTACATTTGCTAGGCGAGAGGACAAACCTCGATAAGTTATACATGTACATCATTAATATATCTATATGTTTCACAGCATGACCTAAGAAATTAGCTGCAGCACGTATGCCAGAAGGGAATCTAAGCGAACACGAGTGGTGTGGAAGAGGTC